AGGGAAAAAATGCTCAGTCCGTGAAATGTTCGAAACCTTGCTTTTGATCCTGTCCACATGCTCCGGTGGACCCCATGCCTCTCCATCACGGTTTCCTTTTATCAATGCATGATCTGTGGGTTATCTAACACCAATTTTTGAAGTCCAATCATGTGGGGCCCTGAAGTCCCGGTTTCTCAGCCTTGAAACCACTGAGACATCTCCTTATGTCCCTGTGCGAAGAGCTCCTCAGCAACAATGGTTTCTGAGGCACATGGATCTTTTTGTGTTTCCTCTTCTTCTGCTTCTCCTTCTTCCATGGCTTTTCATATGTTTCATTCTCCTCTGGCGAAACCATTTCATGCCTTGCTTCTCTTTCCATCCTGGCATCTATCTGGTTTTCGCATTTGTTTTCGATTAAATTCCTGCCCTTGATCCCGAATGCCTTCGACTCCATTGCTTGGACTCCCACTGGAAATTGTCACCACTATCTTGTACTCGCCTTGATTTCGACTGCCACTGAAACTCCGTTCCATGTCTTCCTACCATATGTCATCATCATCGTGGTCTGAAGGTTTGCTACCATCTCAGTTTCTGCTCCGTTGTGTGCTCAGTCTTGGCTCTGCTTTGGTTTTTCCCACGCGACCTGGCATCGAGCAAGCGCACACGCGAGCTGTCGAGATGAAATAAACCAACGAAAACACCAAACGGAGTAACACCAGTCCACTGCAAATCCTTTCGGGGTTGGATGACACATCTGGGATTGAGACGCGCAACATTTTGGCAAACACCGACCTCTCCTTAAAACAACCTGTTGGAACAAGTAGCTGTAGGACTCTTCTCACACGTGGCTTCGTTGGGGTCTACTGAACATGTGTCGCTCCACAACCCGACCAATTGACAAATGAGTTCTGTCGTGACTTTAAGCCATGCTTCTCTCATGGCATCCCGTGTCCACATCTTATATAACCTCGTTGACAAGCAGTTCGCCTTGCCAAGTTCAAGTCGTTGAAAACTATTCTGCGCAACAAAGTGTGCAGGGTTTGCTTGGCGGCTACTCTTTCTGAGTAGGCCAGCCGCTTCCTCTCTGATGTAACCCGACCGTTGTCTGTGAACAACTCGACTTTGTTATTTGCTGTCAATTTGGGCGCCTGCCTCTTTTCAAGTCGACTGTATTTTTGATCCCTGATTAATTACAAAAGTACCCCGCAAAGTCGGCCGGAGCCCAAGGCGGCTGGCGCGAGCATCGCCATTTCACTTGCTTCCTGAAACTATAGCGCCATTTTTTGGGGTCCGATCAGAAGCTTGGTTGTATTGTAGGACAAACCACCCACCATCCGCCTGCAAACTCCCAACGCAGTTTTGTAGGCCTCTGCTCCTGTCAACCTCTCTCCATCTTGAACGCGTTCAAGTTTGTAGGCATCCAACATTGCATGGTTGGGGGCAATCCTGCACATCTTGTTCTGCAGCCTCGAGCAAAGGAATGCACATGGCTATCTCAAGTAAGGTCCTTCTTCCATGAAGTTCAGCTGTCACTTGAAAACTAGCCACCGTGATTTCTCCACTTCCTCACGCGCGTGTTCCGAAGACTGACAGGTTTTCGCCCTTTTCTGAACGCATGATCATGAGCCTCTTGTTGATTCTCGTCAGGACTTTTTGCAAATCGTTTTACGGGTTCAAACTGCCCTCGTAAAATGCAACAACTTGCCACACATTTGTCGCACCGATGGCTTTCGGAATCAATGTGGTATGGTACGACCCCTTTTCGGACAACTTGATCTCTTCTCCAATTGCCAATTTTTGTTCGTGGTCTGCCTGGACAATCTTGTGGCCGATCACCTGGCAAGTCAACCTATGCACTGTTAAGCCTGACCCGTGACAATGAAACATCAGAGTCGGAGCCACTATGAAGGATTGCAGTGTTTCGGCATTCCGATTCATATCGACCTCCTGGAAACACTCCTGTTGGGCTCAGGTGAACTGCTTGAAGGTGCCACTTGGTCTTATGGGACTTGCGGCCACCCACACGATGTGGGCCAGTGTCGTAACCATGGCAAATCCTCACCAGGGTTCTTGCTCTTGCTCTTTCCTTTCTCGCCTTTCTGTTTGCACCTGTTTGCCCTTGCCTCGGCTACAGTTACGTCCTTGGCCTCTTACCTCCACTAAATGGCAAGCCATTCCATCATGACATTTGATTGCTCTTGTACTGCTCTTTCCTTTGTCCTCGGCGCGATCCACGGGATTGGTGTGTTCGAGGATGTGCACTGAGAAGTGCACCAGTTACCAGTGAGAAGCGTGCCAGTGATCTTGGAAAGGGATCGCCACATGAGCAGGCGGCTTGCTCAGATGGGTCATGGGGGGAGGTGATCCGATCAGTTGAGCTGCCACTTCTACAAGATCTAATCTACGTGAAGGTGATCTTGGCTCTCTGATCACCGAGCACACATGCAATTAATCCCACAAACCTGCCCGCACCGAGCCCGCAAGCCACCCGCAAGCCCGCATCGAGCCCGCGAGCCCGCGCCGAGCCCGCGCCGAGCCCGCGCAAAGTTGCGTACCTCAAAGCAACACTGGTACCACTCCCTGGGTTCCTCAAGGCAAAAAGAGTCGTTTTTGCAGAACTGAGCAACTTGCAAACCTGCAAAACCTCTATACGCGGTGAAGGGCTGGTGTCTTGGAGGAATGGAACCAACGCAACAGCAACCACCATTTTCGGCCAACATGCCATTTCTGGCTTCAAGTTACCCTACTACTATACGCAGAGGGAAACCGAGCGCAAGGAAGGCGAGACATGAAGGAACCTTCCAAAAATCCATCCAAAGGGCGCCAAAAAGGAGGCAGACTGTCTCTGACAAAGGGCAGGGCTGGCACCCTGGAGAGGCCAGGCAAAGGACAGAAACCTTGACACCTTGAGCTTGCAAAGGCCCGGAAAAGAACCCTTAAAACCTTGAGATAACAACGGGCTTCACGGGCTTAAAAACTTTTAGACTTCAAGGTCAGCCAAAAACCGTTAACTACAAAATGAAACGATGGGTAGGGCACGGGGAGTGAAGTTGGTGAGGCTGGGATTCTCAATGAAGATGACACGGGTGCTGGAACTTCGGGAGAGATGAAAGATCTGACAGGCACCACAAACCTCTAGTAGCTTCTTGTTACTACTAGTAAGGCCCTTGCTCCTAGTAGCAATGCACTTGTTCCTAGTAGCGATGCACTTGTTTCTTGAAAGGTTTGAAGTCATCTCCCAAAACCGAGCCGCCACGACCAGCGGTGAAGGCTCGTCTGAGCAGCCTCAAAGTGCGAGAAGGTGGACTAGCACTACTTGATGGGGGGGCCATCCACTGCTTCAGGAAAGCAGTAGACGAGGCTGAATGGGCCAAAGGCCAAGAGGTCAATGTGGAACTTGCCGCCAGTACAGTGGTCCTACGACTTTTACCCTGGACTGTACCGCTGGGTGTTCTGATCTCCCTTGGATATGAAGCAGTTTGGGAGAAGTCTCGCTTCGAGCGACCCAAGTGGGATGGTTTTTGACACTCAGGTGGACAACTCTTGCCCAGGAGCCAGACTGGCCTACTTGGCCGTAGAGGACAGTTGGGTGGAGCTGGACCTTGAAGAGGCCAGGCATCGCACAGAACTCCGTGATCTATTTCCAAGTGCCACACCATCTTCTGGAGCGACTACTTCCGAAAAAGGGCTATGGAATCGCCACGAGAGGCGACGTGTCAAAGCGGTGACTCGAAGAAGTTCTGGCAGGCTGAGAATCGAGTGGTCCTGTGCATTCATTTGGATCGGCTCTTGAGGAAGCAGGCTGAGAATGACACCATCCTGTACTTGAGGCAGCTGTATACCTTCACCATCAAGCCGCCCTCGCGCGAGTGCCACGGCAGACTCTTGCGGTGCTGGAACAGCCGGAAGATCCAGACTAATACGTCCGAGAAGAAGAAAAGGCGGTGCAGAGATTTGCCACCTACTGGAATTGGCCTGAATGGAATGCCTACAAGGAAAAATGGGAGAGGAGTGATGTGGGGCTGGACCAGGGTCTTGTTGGACACCGGCGGCGGAAACCAACACGACTGGGAACCAACGTGAGGAGCCTGATGCAACTCAAGACCTACGAGGACCTGGCTCCGGGCGAGGCGAAAAGCTGGCCGAGACCTTGGGAGCTTGGTCAGAATGGGCACCAGGACTGAGCCAAGGCCATCAGAGATGAGTTTCATGAGATGAGGCTTCAAAGAACAGGATGGATCTGGCGGCTTGGCAGCGGCACCTGGCGAATGACCACATCCACAACCGCGGATGCAAGCACTGCGTGGTGGCAGCTGCCGAGGGGCGAGCTAACCGTCGAGTACTACACCCAGCTTGTCGATCGAAGTCGCGGGGGCCCGTACCAGATGGACGCTACCTCCAGGATGGCCAGAGATTCCTATCCACGAAAGTGAGCTGGAAAAGGTGCCTGAACATGACCCGACGATTCAGCGGATCGTGAGAAGGAACTGGAGGCACAGTGGCCGACCTATGACGACGGGATAAGGGAGGGAGCCGGGGAACTGAGAAAGACTTCGAGGTGAAGCAGATCACCCTTGTGGAAGTGATGGAAAATCGAGGTGGCCCAGCAGCACTGGAAGCTGTGGGACGCATGCACGCCAGGCAACTTCCCACTCTGACCCAGCTGGGGAGTTCCAGTCGAAGGCACTGGAAAAATGGTGCCAGGACAGAGGCATCACGAGAACTTACACCGACGGCGATGACTTCAAGAGCAATGGCCGTGCGGAAGGGGCAACTTTTTATTTGCACAAGTGAAGAGAGGTGCGAAAACACTCTTCGTAGCAGCCAACCTTGGCGAAGATTGTTGGTGCCATGCTGTCAGGCATTTCGCTGAACGTCGTCTTCGGAACCAATTGGAAAGCATGACCTGGTGCCATTCGGGCTAAGAAAGTATGGGCCAAAAGGAAAAATACACGATCGCCGCAAGCATTGTGTCCGGCAGTGACCACCTGTATACTATGTCTGAGAGGTGGAGACTATCAGTGTGATACTGGTAGCCCAAACAACAGGTGGATGCGGACCACCACCGACAAAGCAAGCAAAAACAGGTCGAAGTCAAAGGCGCTCTCAAAGCGATCTTTTCCGTGGTCCAAGCGCCGAGTAGCGCTCGAAGGTCGTCGAGCAAGTGCCGCCAGCGTATGGCGGCCAGTGCAAAAACACGTAGCGCGTGTGCCTTCAAAGGCACCAGGCAAAAGGGTCCCCTAAATGGCGGCGGAATGGATCGGTGGCGAACGTGACATGCTAGGCTCGTGAATCAAATGCTGAAAGCAAACAGAATCACATGGGCGAAAGGTTTTCGCCTTAGATCCCTTCCACCGCTGCATCATCGAGGACCATGTCTCATCTTCGATGAGCTCAGGGTCAAATTCCGGTTGGCTCTCAGGCAGCTGCCGCTTCTTCTTCTTGGCGGCAACAAAGCCAGGGTCGTACTTCACGTTCCACAGCTGACCTTTGGCCATGAACATCCTCATCAGGTCGGCCGCGCTGGCCTTGGTCAGGCCGTCAGCTAGTTGGGCATCTGAACTGACCCAAAGCAGGTTGGTCTTCTGCTTGGTCATGTTCTCGCGAACTGCGAGAAGCTCGAGCGCCGAGTACTTCTCCTTCATGGAGAAGGCTGCACTTGCTCCATCGCCTTGGTGAAAGGCATCAAAGGCGCTCTTGGCGTCGATGACAGCTGCTGCGCTCACCTTGGTGGTCGTGAGCTCGGGGTGCAACAGGTTCATCTCATGGCCAAGGAGCTCAGCCCACAAAGCTCTGCAAAACATGAGCTCTTGCTCACCTTCTCCTAGAGCTTGAAGCTCTGCTGCCAAGGAGCTGCGCGCTGTGCGGTGCAGTTTGCCGCTGCGCCAGGCCACCAGGTTGACTGGTGATCTTTCACCATCCAAGATCCTCTTGTGGCAGAGACCCACCACATAGCCACCTGTCGAGGCCAAGTCTGGCCTGTTGGCCACAGCTGCATCTGTCCAGACGATCATCGTCAGGTCGTCGTCTGACATGGCGTCGAGCTGCTGAACTTTCACCGACAAATCTCTCTGCGAGTAGACCTCGCGTACCAGCTTGTTGATCTGGTGGAGCACATCCTTGGAATGCCGGCTGTGAGGCAGCATGGACTGCAGCAAGGAAAGGCGGGCAGCATGATGAGGTGCTGTCTGACTGACGCGCCACTGAATCGAGCCAAGGACGGCCCGAGCTTGTGAGAGCTCTTGAGGCGTCACCTCAGTGGTGGACTTGTCCAAGTCAATCTGCTTGATCTGGGAGGCATACTGGGAGTGGTCCAGGTGGAAACTATAGTTGCTCTGTTGATGGATTTCCACTCCACAATGCAGATAGGGATCTGGTTCCCACTTCTGTAGCGTTTCATGCCACAAAGCATTGTCTTCGTTGCCGGTGACAATGAAGTCGTCAACATGACTGGCAACGGCGCCCTGGACTTTGCCATGTTCATCTTTGCACACCCACAGGCATGGCTCGCAAACCAGTCGATGCATGCCACAAGTGGTCGTCGCAATCTTGTCGACATCACGATACCACTCACGGGGTGCTGAAACAAGGCCGTAGGCAGCTCGCAAAAGGCGGACGGTGTCCTTGGGGCCACAATTCATCTTGTCACCAAGCTCCTTCACAGGGAGCGCAAACACTCCTCGGCTCCGTTGAGATTCGGAGCCCTGGAGAAAGGCAGCTTTGGCGTCAGCCTTGATGGTGCGCCAATGGCGATGACACGCCAAGTTCAGCAACAGCATCTTGCTGCGTCTTGAAAGAGTTGGCGCAGCCTTGTCCAGGAACTCTTGGTCGGGGTCAGAGAAGCCCAAGATGACGATGCCGGCTTTCGCTTTGACACGGTTGGGCTGATTTGGATCGTCCACTGCCTTAAACACTAAGACCCACCTCATTTTCATCAGCCTGGACTTGGGCACTGATGCTCCAGCCTTTTCACAAACTCGATTGGCGAGCCAGGAGTCCACCTCTAACATCTTTGCCTCCAGCATAGCTTGCCTCTAAACGGGATTCAGCTTATGCCAGGCCACTTCGCAGCCCTTCTTGACTGCTTTGGAGGTAAATTTCTTTGGCTCCTTCAAGATCTGCCTCCACTCATCTTCATTGGCCGGTGCATCAATGGTCACCGACAGGATGAAGTCATTCTCCATGTTGGAGCACCAGCCAATCAGGTCAGGGTCTTGGTACTTCTTCGGGAACTTGGCATGGTGTGGTCTGTCCTCCATCTCATGCCGCTTCCTCTGATGCTGGAAGCTCTTTTCAGCAGAAGCTCTGCTTTCTTCCATGGGAGCGTCAGGAGGTTCGATAGGATGAAGTGGCATGTAGGAGGGGTCGTTCAGCAAGCGCTCTATGTCCAGCTCATCTGAATCGTCGGGGTGCATTCCTTCTTTCAAAGTTGGATCCATGTGCACCTCCGAGTCAGGAAGAAGTTCTTCAGACGAGGAGCTGGCAGGATCATCAGGTTCTTCCTCTTCTCTTACAGTTTTCAGCCTCTTGCCATCTTGGTGAGATGGGCGAAAGGTTTGTCTCCTTTTGGCTTCAAATCGCTCAGCCTTCGAAGTTGTGAGGTCCTCAAAGGCGCCCTTATGGAGTGAAGTGCTCATCATCGTAAAGGTCCATGGCATGGCCATCGTGCCAGAGGAGTTGGCAATCAGCAATTCTCGTTCACTGCCATGCCGAATCTGGTCGATGTGAGCCTTAAGCAAGCGTCCACAGCTTACCAACCAAATAACGCTTGAGGGCATTCGAGAAGTGCTGGAACTGTCCACCCTTGTCTCACAGGCCAAGACTCTAGCCGGCCCATACCAGCGAGCAATCCGCATGCGGGGCATGTCTACATCCTCGTTGGCAGGAGCACGTCGAGGAACTTTATGGCGCTGGTAGTAGACAACATCTCCAGGCAAGAACTGTCGGGCAGGCTTTGAGCGACTGTTCTTCGCTCGCGAAATGCGAGCATCAGCACTGAGCTTGTTGTGAAGATGTTCTGCTTCAATTCGGAGCCTCAGACTTTCAGCCATAGCGTGTCCAGGTGTTCCTTCGGAGCATGCCACTGCAGGATTCACTGACACGCTCTCCGATCGCCCAAATGCCCATTGCGCAGGAGCAAAACCACCCACGCGAACCACATGGTTGTGAGCTTGGACCATCGCACTTGCAGCACGTCGAGGTTCAATAGGCTCGTTCCGGAGAAAGGTTTCCATCTTCCAGCGAAGCTCTCCAATGGCTTTCTCAACAGCTCCTGTGGCGGCATGATGTTCAGCAGGAACATGAGTCATCTCAATGCCACGCTCGGAGCACCACATTGCGAGAGCTGTGCCGCGAAATGCCCCTTCAGCATCACATCTAATGCGTGCCGGGTAGCCGAAGATTTGACACCAAGATTCCTCCAGAGCAGTGATGACCTCTGGGGTTGAGATGTTCTCAGATTCATCTTCGTGGTGAACCTTGATCTCTCTCACCACGGCAAAGGAGCTAGCCTCATCGAGCAGGAGGAGGAAGTGATGCACCTGCTTAGCATGCTTGAAGTAGAAGGCGTCCATTTGAAGTGTCTTCCAAATGGTATCCTCTCGCTCTAAAGACACCTTGGTGGCAGGCGTTGCCGTTCTGCTTTCTTGACATTCAGGGCAAGCCAACTGTAGAGCTGCGGCTTTGAGTTCTTCACTGGCTCCTCTTGCACGTAGGAGCTTCAGCAAGGCACGGTTGTTTGGATGGCCGCAGAGACGATGAAGCTTGCGCACTGTCTCCATGAGATGTTGTAGTTCCTGAGGTGTGAGCTTCTCCAACACCTGGGGATCAGGCTCAACTTCAACAATCCCTCCAATGAGCTCGGAGGGTTCCAGCATGCCTTTGACCGCAATGTGGCACAACTGCTTGGTGTAGTAGGCGGAGGCCCGAGCACGTTGTCCAAGGCAAGGGACATGGTGATGCGAACCATCACAAAGTCTTGCCAAACCAGCCAAGGCTCGTGCTCTTGTGGTCATAAACCTCCATGGCTTCTTCACAGGGCCATCTGGAGACGTGAGGCCAAACATGCAGCCATCGCCAAGCACTTCGTGAGCACGGTCACATTGATGAAGAGCCTCCCAAAATGCAACCACTTCAGGAAGTTGCCATGCCTTGTTGAATCTCGGCCATTCCCAGGCGATCTCGCCATCCATGGAGAGGTGTTCTTGTAGAACTCGTAGTCCACCTCGAAGAACTTTTCTCGCATGCCTTTTCCGGTAGGCACTCTTGACTTTTCCTTCAGGGGTGCGTTCATTGAGAGCTTGAACTGCCGAGGTAGGGCCACAAGGAAAGCTGACCCAAATCCAACGTGGTCGATGTTGGCGAAGTAGTGCCAAAGTTCGCTCAACTCCCTCAGGCTTTGTCAGGTCACATTGGTTGTGTAACCCAGCACGCCCTGCTCGCCCACCTTGCCTGATAACTTCCGCGGTCAACAAGCTGGTGGGGTCACAACACAATTCCATGACGTCCCATTGCTCCAGGGACGTGATTCCGCCATGAGCTTTGAAGATCATATCGCCTTCTTCAACCAGCTCATTCATAGCTTCCGTCACGAAAGCGAACTCCTTTCGTGGGAATGGAGTCATGGTGCGATCTTCACCTTCAAGTTCACCAGGTTGTAGTCCGTCTGCTGAGAAGGAATCAAATGCTTCTCCCACCTTCATGCCATGGGCATTCTCAGTCTTGAACTGGTTCGGAGGGACTTTGACATTCGGTGGAACCTGGGCATTCTTCAAAAACCTGACATTCGGTGAGATCGGCTTATTCGAATTCATGAGGATGTCGTCCTTGGAGGTCAAGTCACCCGGTGGGTCCTCATCGTCGTAGCGACCTCCCGACTCCTCGGTGTTCACACTGACCTGGCTTCTCCTCCCCCGGAGGGAGGACTCACGGGCGACCACGATCGGTGAGATCGATCCTCGTACTCCACCTGCTCGGCCGGAAGATCTGCAGCTCGACGGGATTTGCTCCCAGGCACCTGTGAGAGTTCCTCTGCATCTGCTGGAGATGCCCTCTCTGTTGCCGTAGGTGTTCCCGGACTGGAGGTCACAATGGTGCTCGGAGTTGGAGGAGCATAGTACCCTGCCGCTGCTTTGCGAGCCCGGATGTGATCGAGCTTGGTGAGCAAGGAACGCTCGGCTCCGTCCAGGCCCACTGCCTGATTCTTCAACAAGGGGTTGTATGGAGCCTTCTCTCCAAGTTCCTCGATCTGGTGCTTCGTGTCCTCCGGCAGGGGACCGGCCTGCCTGTGCAGACCTGTTGCTCCGTAAGCCGGCGTGTACGACAGGCGGAGGAGGCACTTCGCACAGCCGACCCATTTTGCATGGCCGTTGGAGCCCGTGGCCGATCCCTTGTATGCCGGAGCAGGATCGTGCTGACCATGGCACGGTGGTCCCAAGGTCCGGGGATCTCGTGGATCGCTGAGCACCGTACGAGTCTCGTCGTACCTGTCGTCCTTGCTGGACGTAGCCTTCTTCTTCTCCTTGGTGGAGGCCGCTGGCGGGCTCTTGGCCTTCGAAGCAGCAGCTTGGGACATGGCTACCCAGCAAGGCGAAGTTGACCGCGGTGGAGGCCAGAAGGGTCAGAGCCTTCCACGACATTGATGTCTCTTGAGCCTCAAGGTCAGCGTCATTCGCTCCAGTGGTCAAGGGTGGTCTCAAAGAAGTGGAGGTGGTCGAAGAAAAACGAACTGAAAAACATTCACTCAAAAACTCATCTGCAGCGTGCCCGTGAAGACTCTTGTACATGTCCAACTCAAAATCATCAAGCAAAACCGACAAACTCGAAGTGGCGGCATGTGAAGACTGTTCTGACTCATGGATCATGAAACACGACGACGGAGAAGGCTGCGAGCACATGTATTCCTCGGACTTCGTTGGTGCAGTGTCGGTCGTGAAGAGGATACGGGTGCCCTCACTCAACCAGTCATGGCTGAGGTCCATCACCAAATGCCCCGAAGAGGATTTCCTCAATGGAACAAGGAGGGAGGCATCAATCGCCGTCAGGACCATGGCAGATCTGCCACAGTCAATGAGCGCACCGAGTTTGGTGAGCGTGCGAATGCCAACCAAAACAGGGACACCTTGAGCTTCCAAGGTGTAAATGCCGAGCGACAGGCGGTGGTTGCCCAAACGCTGAGGCAAAAGAATCATACTCTCAGACTTCTGGGGCATGCCGTTGCCGAACTTGAACATCTTGTTGGGTACATCAACCACCTTGAATCCATCGGCATCAGATCCTGACTGGTGCCGTTTGCGCATGATCCATTCTAGGGCAGCCAACCCTGAAACAGTCTCTGTCGCTCCTGTGTCGAGCACTCCATACCCTTCCACCTCTGGGGATCCAATCTCATCAGCGACCATGATCTCCAGAGGCCGCTCAGGATGTGAAAGAGGGTGGCAAACAAAGGTCTCCACAGATTCGTGCTCATCAATCACCATGAACACCTTGCCACCTTTGCCGCTCCGTGACCGACGAGGACACGAGCGGTAGTCATGATCTTTTGCTCCACAAATGAAGCAACCTTGGTAGCCAGGGGATCCCGGCTTTCCGCCACCTTGGATGGCCATCACCGGTGAAGATGCCATAGGCGAAGTCGATGATGAAGGTCTCGAACCAAGCCCTTTTCCTTTTCCACCTTTCTTTCCAAAAGATGGTTTGCCTTTGAACTTGCCTTTGGGGAAGAAGCCTCGAGAAGCATTCTTGGCATGGGTCGCACGGCGGCTGTCTTGAAAAGACCTGATCTTCTCTTCATAGGCCGCATAGGCTTCCACAATGGGCTTCGATTCCTCAGGGGAGCTCCAAAGAACAGAGTTCCAAACATCGGCCTCTGACCATGACCAGAACGCTCCACCGGCATCCTGGTGATAGTACTCGCCATCGGCTTCCAAGTTCCACCACAAGTACCATCATCAGCTGCAAAGGTCTCCTCAATCTCAGGTCGCGAGGTCGAAGAGCTCTCCCAGGTTGAAGTCTGAAAGACCTGGTCATAGGACATCCCACCAAGCCAATGGATGTCATTCTCCAGGAGGTCTTCGTCTTCACATTCACCAGTGAGCATGAGGCCCCATTCGCCCTCATACTCAACCCAGAACTGCGGACGGGTCTTACCTTTCCCATGGCCTTTTGGACGGCCTTCGCGCTCTTTTTCCACAACACGAAGCTCGTCTTCTGCTCCTCTCAAGCCCTTCTCGATGTCGTCGGCCTTCAAAGAGTTGCCAATGCTTGAGAGGACATTCAAACGCTGTGCTGCGTTCAAGGAGGACTTGCGCAGCATGATCCAGCCAATCAGTTCACTAGGAAGCACTTCAGGAAGGCCAACATCCAGGTCGTCCCAAAAGTGGTCATTCTCGGGGTCCTCCTCGCTGTCAGACGGGTCAGAACGTGAGCCCCTGGAAGGAGAGTGGTAGTCCTCTTTGCCTTTTCCAGATTTGCCACCTTTTGAGGAGTGGCGAGTAGGAGATCTCGGGGGAGGCGGCTCTTCATCTTCTTCCTCATCTTCAGCAGCTCGCTGAGCTTCCTCAGCTTCAGTCCCTTCTTCAGCTGCTGGCTCGGGAGATGAACGTGCCCTCGAGGATGTCAAGGATGTAGTCCCAACACCCTTCAAATCAGGGAGATCTCCTCGAGCACGCTTCAAAGCTCGTTGCAGCTTCCGGTACTGCTCTCGGACTTGAGCGCACCACGTTGCCATGGATGTACCTGGCATGCGGCGTAGCCGCAACAGCAAAGCTTCAGCCTGAGAGCCAGCGTCAGGGATGGGAACTCGAGCAAGGCGTTCCTCCAAGAAGGATATCAAGTAGCGAGCACCATTGGCCTGGGTCAGGGCCTTGTAATCAATCTCCTGCGTGACGACCCAGGCACGTCCCGAGAGCTGGGACACCAGGTCGGGTCCAAGTTGTGCTCGTCGACGGCGTCTCGTCTTTTCAAATGCCAAGCGGACCTTTCTCACATAGTCCGGCCAGGTGCTGAAATCACCGTCCCAGTGACACCTCAAGGACATATCTTTGTCCTTTTCAGTCATGACTGAACTTCAGGACGGGGTAGTCGAGAAGGAGGGAGGTGTGCAGGACAAAGTACGAACCAACCCAAAACAAATGAACCAAGGTCCAAAGCCAAGCTAGCCAGTGCCGAGGCGGTCCTCAATGTCTCGTGCAATGAGTCTAGCCACCTTTCAACAAAGGGTCACCAGCCACTGTCCCTGGATCCAAAACTCGTGCACCTCTTCTTGAAGAGCTCCGGAGTGATCCTCTCGCTCTCCAAGGTAGCCCGAGCCTTGCAGGCTCCGCTACCAGTATCAGTGTGATACTGGTAGCCCAAACAACAGGTGGATGCGGACCACCACCGACAAAGCAAGCAAAAACAGGTCGAAGTCAAAGGCGCTCTCAAAGCGATCTTTTCCGTGGTCCAAGCGCCGAGTAGCGCTCGAAGGTCGTCGAGCAAGTGCCGCCAGCGTATGGCGGCCAGTGCAAAAACACGTAGCGCGTGTGCCTTCAAAGGCACCAGGCAAAAGGGTCCCCTAAATGGCGGCGGAATGGATCGGTGGCGAACGTGACATGCTAGGCTCGTGAATCAAATGCTGAAAGCAAACAGAATCACAGAGACCGGGAAGACTACCGGAAGTGCTTCCATATGCTTCCATACAGGGTTGCTTCCTCGTTGATCGTGGCGATGGCATCTTCTGCGACTGCCCCCACCGCTCATGGACCATGCAGGGAATCCAGTCCTTGCGGTTGTTCCTGACCTCCGCCAGTGCATATGACCTGGTCTAGTGACCTGGTCTGTAGGAATGCTTAATGAGTTTCAGCGCCTTTCCCCATCTCCATCACCTTGGCAGCGATCTCCTCCTTTCCGGCCCGGAATGCCTCACATGTGATGTCCTCGATCTCTGCCGTGAGGGACTTGATGAACCTCTCGTTGACGTTTTCTCCCTCCTCCTCCTCGAGTAGCCTTTCCCACGATAGAAGGAAGGTTCCGCGGTGCTGCAACCCCCCCCCAGCAGTCCAAGGTCCATCCCTTGGCCTCGTGAAGGTCTAAAGCTCTGTTGGCAAGCGTAAATGCCGTGCCGTTGCCGGCGGGAACTATATGAACCAGCAAACATCGACGGTGGAGGCACGAACCCTTCTGGCACACACAGCCGGCATGGGCTGGGAAGCGGGGACTGCAGATATGAAATCATTGCGGGGAAGAGCATCGTCATGGTCACCCCTCCAAAGATCTTTGTTGAGGCTGAGGTGCTTAGAAAAGAAACGACAAATGGCGGGTGAGAAGGGCACTATCCGGCTGAGTATCCGGAGAATACCAGACACAGTTTGAGTAACATCAGGCCGCCCGAGAACGAGGAGGAGAACACCACACTAGAGGGATCAGGATGGCACAGAAGCAGGCCGGTGAACTTTTTTGGGTTGTTGGCCCGACCTCTCATATGGTGTGTCTCTGGTGAGCCAATGGGCATCGAAGCGCCCAAGAGCGGTGTATGAGATCAGGGGACACCTGCGAGGCTACCTCAGAGAGACACCAAGGTCGGCTACAAAGCAACCTGTGGTGGAGACGAACCTGGTTTCAAGGTGAGAACACTGGAAGCGTTCAGTGATGCGAACTTAGGGCCCAACGAGCAGGAAAGCACCACGGGACCAGTGATCTGCTACCAGGGCTGTCCGTTGATGTGGCTTACTGCGAGGCAAACCTTTGCACTCAGCACGGCTGAAGCTGAGCTGATGGCACTGTTGGAGGCGATGGGTGGTGTTGAGATCTACGGCATCCTTGATCAGTGAGATCACGGTTTCAGCTCCATCCCTTCGAATGTGCACGGACTCGAGGGCGGCACTGGCTATTTCTCAGGGGCCTACGGCATCATGGCGCACAAGCCACCGAAGCCGTAGAGAAGGAACTTCACTGAGCCTCACCCACCAATCGGGGAAGGAACTGATCGCTGACCTCTTCACCAAACAGCATCAAAGAGCTACAGGGACAGCTGTTTTCGAGCCATAAGGCTGGACTGGGCCTGAAGGCGCCTCAGGAGGAGATGGTGGAGGTCAAGAAGGTGGATATCGGCCAAATTTCGATTGAAATTCAGTTTAAGAAGGGGATTTGACTGCTGGCATTGCAGCGGGCCTGATGAACAGCGCTGAAGCGATGCGGGGTTGAAGCGGTTGCGGCAAAGTCGGGGGGGGTGGTGAATGGTGGATTGTTCACCTGATCACAGTGGCGGTGGCCATCATTATAGGGATCTCATCGTCAGAGTGAGCACCACAGCTGGAATCAACAGATGGCTGAGACCTGCAGAGGAGCTGCATGAGAATAAAGTTGCCCTCTTCCAATGCCCCCTGGCGACCGCGTGCTGGTGAACACGGGCATGGCGATTGAGTTTCCTGCAGGGACCTCCGGCCGTGTGGCTCCCAGGTCAAGCCTGGCGATGCGTGGTCCTGGTTGATGAGTTCCCTGACCTCGTGCCACCACTTGCCACCCCGTTGAGTCACGCATCACCCAGGTTCCACCATAAACGGTCTAGGGCCACAAGCCGTCGTGGCGGTCCCATGCTGATGGTCCCAAACCCAACTTCTCTCACCTGGCCTGCTTCATCCGGATCATATGGTGTGCGCACTCGTAGCTCTTGATCATGCCCTTGATAGTGATCCGGTGGTTCTCGGAGCACACGAGACTCCAAGGAGATAGCCCAGTGCCATCGAGTTTTGGTGTTTGAGTCTGGGCATCTTCCATGCGGATCTCGCTGCCTGACCTGGCATGGGCCACCCTCATGGTCCTAACAGAGATTCTGCCCGCCGGGTTTCTCGTGCCAAGCCCCTGGCGCTGGTAGAGCGGGCCATTGGCGTTTGCCCATGGATAGGCTTCTTCATGAGCTGAATAGCCGACACTTCGACTTCCCCTGGCAGTCTCTGATGCCTCCGAGGCATCGGCCACCATCAACTCCAAACTCCGTGATGTTTGCGCAGGCGGGAAGCCAAGGGGAGCGCGGAAGGCAAGTCCAGCAAGTCGCTGAGGAGGGGGGCTTCCGGGGTCCTCGAGCCGCATGGGTGAGCAGGCCCGACCAGCGAGCAATGTACGCCTGGGCTGTTGCTTGCCTCAAGGGTGCAGGTACTCCACGGCTGCGGGCTTGGGCCAAGGACCTGATGAAGGTCGCCGCCTCCCCGCTCCATCGGCCCCCCACTTCCATTGCCAGCCCCCCACGAAGGAGTTCCGGGTAAGTGCGTTCTTTTGCTCGCCGTGCATCTGCCAATGCTGCCCCGGTGAAGTCCCCCCCGTTGCCGAGGGTAGCCTGTGCTAGTAAGGGGGGAGGCCAATGTGGTGTCCACATGTGTCCACTGCCAATTGGGCTCCTTGATGCAAGGGCAGTCCATTTGCTATGACTTCGATGCGTCTGTTGTCCAAACGCTGAACTGCGGGGACGTTCAAGTCGGACAGGAGTGTGTGCGTTGTTACCCGGGCCCCGGCCTCTCTGCATACCCGAGCCGTTGCCCATTCCAATGCCCCCCCCACGGCTCCGTAAGACCCCTGATTGAGCACACGCTGCGCGATGGTCGCAAAGCAAGTCCAAAGTGCGACGGCATCGGCAGGTGCGGGCTGCCAAGGGAAGAGGGAGACGAAGACGGCGAAGCAACAAGATGCGGAAGAGATGCGAGGGGTACGTGAACTCTGGGGCTGATGGGGATTGTTGTGAAGGTGCGACTGGAATGTGGTCCTGACTGGGAGATCAACAAGGCTTGGCTGGCGGGGTCGAGGGTGTGGAGCAACTGGGTTCGGAAACTGGTGTGGATGGCTGCGGCGGCTTTGTGTTGCCAACCTCGCTCGAAGGGTCCGTCAATGGCGGTGTGCGGTGTCGGGGACGCGCCGTTGAGGATTTCTAGCCATGTTGGGGGGGTTCCAGTCGGGGCCCTGCAAGGCGTCGGCTGCATCAAGTGCGGCCTGGACCGAGTGTGGTGCTGGGTGGGAGCGCTCTAGACATGGGAGCAATTGGGCTGTGAAGTGGGGCAATTGTTGGTGCAGTATGGGGAGGGTGTCCGCCCAAAAGGCCCAATATGCTGCGGGGGGCAAGCACTGTAGCAGATGGCAGCCCAAGGCCGCCGAGTGCAAGTGGAAGGTGTGCTCTGCCAAGTGTTGTTGCTGCGAAGCCGGGTTGCCCCAACAGTTGACGTAAACGACTGGTGACCGCAACGTCATGTTCGGCCGCAAACTCGGTGGCGAGGGCCGGAGCTGTGGTGCGAAGGATATAATTGCTCCGGGGGGCTGGCGCAAAACAACAACAAGAGCCAAGAGGCTTGGAGGTCATCCAGAGCAGAACTGTTCATGGCTGTGGTTGATGTGCTGGAGTTGGTGCCGCACGTATGCTTCAGAACCTAGGGGAGTGCCGAGGACTGTGAGTCCTTGCTGGTGGCTGGGTAGGGTTGGGTTGCCGACCCACTGGCTGGGCCCCCCCTATGGTCTAGTTTTCACGGGCCCACAACCAGGTCAATTTTTCGTAATACTCTTACTACTACTACTACTACTACTA